GGTGAAGATCATAGGAAGCCCTAAGCTTACGTTGCGCATGAAACACACCGTGGGCAGGACCGATTCCACTTGCTGCCCCTTGCTTCAGCCTTGACCTTGTGGGAATATCTGTGAGGAAGAGCTGGTTCAGTTTCCAAAGCACAAACTATTTTATGAGGCCAAGATGTTTCCATTCTATTTGAGTTGCTCGCCTGCAGCGATGTTCTCTTATACACGCTGTACTTCCCACGTCATCTACTATAGGATCCCAGGGGAGAGTATTCCGCAACCTAAAAAAAATATCCTTAAAAATACACTAAAAGTGAAAAAAAGACACGTGCAACTTACAGGGTTTCCATGAACAGCAATGCAACAGAATTAGGGACAGGAAGTACAGAAATAGTGGAATCTGTACAGCGTTTAACCAGATTTAACTGTAGATTTAAATGATCGCCTCCCTTACATCCCAAAATAGAACCAAATATGATTTATCACAGATGTCATAATAGCATCTGAGGACACTTCCTTCCCCTCTAGCCTAAAGATCGGAACAGTTTATTGCTGGGTACAAATATGGTGCTAAAATGACAGTCTTGTCCTGAAACGACAACTTCTGAGGCTACTGCTGAGCCACAGTTGCCTAATTTTTAATGTCTTTTACCTGTGATCAGGACCTACACAAAGTACGATCCTGAACACACAGAGAAAGGCTTGCTCCTCATGCACATCACATTCATCACTGTTTTGTCTTACCTGCCACAAAGGTACTGCCTAGGAGGTACTGGGTTACTGGGAACAAAAGGTGGTAAAAATGCTACTTCTGTCTTCTGTTTCGTGCTGAAGCTCTGCAGTGTGAGAGCTGGCCTTTGGGCCTCACATTTGCAACAAAGGCAATCAGACAAAGCTGCAAAGATCAGTTTGTGCTTGTTTAGAACACATTCAGGAGCAGAGGGTGTTTACGGGAGCAACCAGCTATGAGTTTCATCCCAGCACCTGCAAAAGCAAGTGGCATTTCCTCAGCACCATGCTTCACACACCTGCTCAGAAATGTGCCACACTTCTCTAGCAGTGTTGCCATAATGTCAAAATACTGTGCAAAAGCATCAGAGAGACACTGGGGGTAAATGTAACCATTGCAAATAGAAAGATCGCTTTGTTGTTGTTGTTCTTTTTGTTCTTTTTTTTTTTTTTCTTCCTTTTTTTTTTTTGTCTGCTAGGAAGAAGGGGAAAGAGTGAGAACATTCGCCTTCCTCCCAATATGCAGGGATCTTAGCAAGATGCTCTAGCTCTGCTCATCTGTTTCTCCTTTTGTAAAATGTATGAGGAGTAATTATATCCAGTTTTGAAAGCAATTTGACATCCTCGTATGAAAAGCACTATGGTAATGGCAAATATTTTTGTTTTTATTATGGTTCATCACTGAAGATATGCACAAGTGCCAACAACAATAAAAATAGAAAATCTTATAAAAATCATAGCCAAAAGTAACATAGACTAATAAATAAATCTTAAAATAAAATGGTGTGGAAATAACGTAATCTGTGTGCAACATGCAAAGGCAGATATCTTTGCATGGAGAACCTAACGAGTGGTTAGTAAAATCTCCAGAATCATCCAAATGTTTTCAAAATTGCTCTGAGTTTTGCAAACATTCTCCCTTTAATTTAAGCTATTGTTTTTCCAGAAGAATTTGAATTAAAAACATGTGCTTTTTTAGCTAAATATAAGTCCATTGTACACAAACAATGAAAATCTCTTTTAAAAACAATTCTTATTCTACATGCCAAGGGTTATACAATCTTAAATAGTGTGAATCCTTCTGCGTGGTGTCACTCGGTGAAAAGACTATTCTGACAATCTAGAAAATCAAATAAAGATCAGATACAAAACCCTCTGGCTTTTACTACATATCTTACTCAAATTCTTTCCAAATTAGAGCCCCAAATTCATCATTTTTGGTTAATAAGAAAAGGAGTTTGGGAATCTATTTAAAACTTTCTGGAGTGTATGTTGCCTTTCTTACTGCTATCAGAAACTATTAGCTCTGGACAGAGATTTCTACATGCCGTGGATGCAAGCGTTGGTTAGAAGCACAAGAAGCCTGGGCTAGTGCATCAGAAAGTTAGATGGAACCATATTAGCCAAAGAACTAGAAATCAATTGGTCTGCTTCCAAGATTCAGTCTAAAACTGCTTTCACATTTGTTTTAAGCAACCAGAAGCCATCACAGCTGCCAAAAGAAGCAGTCCAACATTTCCTCCAGCACTGGTCTTTCATTCCTGCCCCGACACATCTCCTCTCGGGTGTCAGCACCAGCATCCGTGTAAGCACATGGCAAGCAGCTTTTCCAGCCTCCTCCCTGCAGCTGCTCATTGCCGTGACCATTTGCGATGCCCGGCTCCGTGCCCTCTCAGCCCCCAGCATGGTTTTGAGATGCAGAGAATCGCACACTGCGCTGGAGGTGAGGATGCTCTGAGCTTTCATGCCAGCAGCAAAAAGCCACCCCACATCTAATTCTCCATTCCCCTCCAACATTTTGATGATTTTCTTTTTTTTTTCCTTCTGTTGCACACTGAGCTGATGATCTCAGAGAACAGCCGTTGATGACTCCAAGGTCTCCTTCCTAATTTATGGGTGCCAAGTCCAAGTTCAGCACCACTTAGGCATAGTTTATGTTATTTTTCTCTAGATGCATTACTTTACATTTATCTAGACTAAAGCTCCTCTGCCAGCTTGCTCTGTGCTCGCTTTTGTGAGATCCTTCTGGAGTTCCTCAGCACTGACACAACCCAAAAGGACATTTACTTCTGTTCCTGTCAGCGGTGTTGCCTCTCTTTTTCAAGCAAGACAGCAGACCTGTATTCTTCTAGGAATGTCTTTGCTCATATAGAACATTCCCCATGATATTGCTTAATTTATCTGGCCCTTTTCCCTGGGCTGAAATCGTTCTGGCCACCTAGAAGCTGGTAGATATATTACCACTTGTTTTCATAGGAAGACTTACAATGAATAATTTTGTATTACTCACTCACATATGCTTTTAATAGCAAATGGTAATAAGGGTTCCAACATCCTACACTTAGGGAGGGGGGCATTTACATACTGCTGCTAGCTAATCCTAAAATTTATAATGTGTCCAGCTCAACAGCACATTTCAAAGCGTCCTGTTAATCGACCACAAGATTTTGAACATTTTCATGTTCCTCCTTTCATTTGGCCAGTTCTTACAAAACTTCTGCAAGATTAAAGCACCCTGGTAATGAAATTTCCTGGAAAAGATTTTTCAGTGTTTGGGTGTCTGCAAAAATCTGGAAGCCAATTTACACACTGGAAGATTTAAGACCGTTCCCATTGGAGCCGTGTCCCAAAAGACACCAGATCTGGTGTCTCCCTCCCAGTGCCACGAGCTGGATAGCCCTCCAGGCCTTTTGTTCTCCCTCTTCATCAGCTGACTGTCATGATGGTCAAAGTAATAACCCTTCACACTTACACAACAACTCAGCACAAATACAGCTTCAGAAGGAGTTTTTAGAGGGGAAACCGAGCCCTGGAAAAGTGATACATTCATACATCTTCTGCATCCTGTGCTTGTTTTACTGGACTGCTGTGCACCAAAGCTGGATTTTTCCGAAGCTCTGCACCCAATTCATGCTCAGCATGCATAGGTCCTGTGTGAGGCAGGCATGGAAATCGAGATGATTGGAAAACCTGGCCCCCAGTGCTTTGAGAAGGGGTGGTAATCGAGAGACCTGGCCTCATTCCCCTTCCTCCTGTGCTAGCTCTCTGTGATACCCCAGCTTCCAGAACCTGCTTGTGTGTGCTGTGATTGAAAGCAGCTGCATGAAAGCGTCTGGGCAGAAAAAGCTCTTCTGGTGGCTGCAGCCTCCCTGTAAGGAGCCATGCCCACCTTCTGCCTGGTAGGAGTGTGCAGAAGACAGGAGAAATCTGCGTACTCAGGTCTCTGAGATCTGGGGGTGGATTAGCTTTCAGTTAATATCTGTTTCCCACGCAGCGTGGCAGAGCACACGTCTCAGAAGAATGCTGTCTGCACCAGGCTTCCTTCTTCCCACCGCTGTGTAAAGCCAGCCCTACCCTTTGCAGATCTCTTTTGACCATTTTTTTCAGAGATGAATGCTCAGACTGTACTTTCTGTAGTTTCATTTACATCTGTTTTATATTATTTGCAGTTTTCCTTTATCTGGGCCATTCCCTCCCCACTGCTCGTCCTTTTTTCTTCCCTCCCCATTATCCCTGATAACTGAGAGTTGCTCGTAGCCCGTGTACGGTTACATGCTGTCATCCCTACAGACCTTGCAGCTGCCAGCTGTCTTAAAACTACACCGAGTTTGCCTATAGAAGTCATTCTTTCTTCATTCCCTCTGTCTGGCTCTGAAGGATACTGGCTGCCTTAGCCTTCCCAAGCCTGTTGTCAGCCCTAAATTCACTTTTCCATGTTCAGAGAAACAGCAGTGCCCCAACCCTGTGCTGACCCACATTCCAGCGGGCAATTACAACTAATAACATGCACAACCCAGCATATCAAATGTATCCTGGAGGATACAGATGCGATCTTGTACTTTAGAATAAAAAAACTACCCCTGTCTGAAAAATGTGGGGGTGGGGGGGGGAAAGTGTTTATTTTCCTGACGAGGAGTGTCCCAGCAGCTCTGGCACCCTGAAGGGGCCCAACTGCAGGACACAATAGGGCAGGGAAAACAACAGAGCCTGGAGCTGGAGCCCATTGAAAATGCCGAGAAACTAGACAGGCAGAACGGGATGATTCAAAGTGGAATTAGTGCAGGGCAGCGGGGTGACCGGGGTGACCGTCTCTTGCCACTGGGACGACAGCAGCACTGAAGAATCTCGTTTTAGGCAGGAGCCAAGGGGCAGCACACAAACCAGGCGGCGGGGAGATAAAGCGGGGAGCGAGGGAGCGTGGTTGATGGAGGCACACGCTCCGTGCCCGGCTGGAGGAATGTCCTGGGTTCCCTCGTGATTGGCTGGGGAATGGAGGAGTCAGTTTTCACGGGGGTTGATCAAAAAGTTTCCTTTTGCTTTCCAAAGTTGCTGTCTGAGCGGAGGCATCGGGAAGAGGAGGCCGGTGGCTGTAACGTTCCTCGGGCAAGCTGCTTCAATGCAATGAGAAGGCTTCTCTGCCCGGGGACACACAGCCCAGAGCAGGCGCCTGAGAAGCTGCTTTCCTCCCTCTCTCTCCCAACTCCTCCTGGAGTTGATCAGCTCTCCCTTCTGGCATGCGTCTCATCCCTCAGGATACGATGTCACAGTATTCTACTAACTTTCTCTTGCTTCCCATACCAGAGTACCCGGTGCTAGACTGCGTGCCCAACAAAATCATCAAGCTCGTGGTGCTGGGTGGCAGCAGCGTGGGCAAGACAGGTAAGCCCACAGGTGTCCTTCGTGCTCTTTGCTTGCTGCTGGCTGCCTGCGACGGCGGCTCCGATAGACCCAAGGCTGTGCCAAGCCCTTTAACCACTGCAGCTGAAGCATTTGGAGTTACTTCGTGCTTATGTTTGTTTGCTCGGTGCCTGGTTTGCCGGGAGGATTTGCTGCAGGTCTGTGTGGCCAGCCAGTGCGTGGGGACTTCTGTGCTCACAAATGAATCTCCGGGGTCTTGTGCGGAGGGTTTAACATCTAAATCTCCACTCGGAAAAAAATGGGGCTAGCGATTTTTATTCTCCTGCTGTAGATGATGTATGCTCTGTGGACAAATAACAGCACAGGAGATGTGTCTCCCTGTATTACTCTCCAAAGGAGAGCAGAAGAAAGGAGGGTGAGGGAGCATTACTGCTTTGGAGTAGATGGCTCATGGTTTCAGAAATAATTACGGGAAGATCTGGTTTAGTGCATCTGGGGTTCCACAGCACTCAGCAAAATGTTTCCTTGCTTTGGATTTGAAGCAGCTATGTTTCTGTATTATTTGTAGGTAACTTGCTGAAGGTAGCTGCCCATGTAAAGGTAGCAAAGAGGTGACTCAGTACATACTGTGAGAAAAATGATTGTTCTAAATGAAAGCCTATGATACAGTTGTTTGCAGAACAAAACTTTTTGTTTAGATATTAACTGAGTGGTTTTGAAAATTATTGGGAATCTGCTGAGATGAAAGCACTACGGGAATATAAATTCCTGTGTCCAAAAATGAGATGTAAGTGTTATAAAGAGATCAAAAAAAGGAAAATGTTTTAATCCAATAGTGTATAAAAGCACCACAGGTTAAGATGAATAAGGAGGTCATGCCACAGCATGACCTGTGTGTGCATAGCACATGCAGTTTGTTTGCTGGGTGTGATTAGATATCACTAATGGGTTTCTTTAGAGGGGGACTGAGGATTTTTAAGGCTGGGAAGAGCCATTTGATCCATCGGCCACACTTCTGATACGGCACAGAGGTCTTAAAGTTGGTATTGGGATTAGTTTCAGTATAGTAAAGGGCTGGCTTGTTACTCTTCTAAATTATTTTAAACCAAAGGTCAGATCATTATATCTGCAGTCACAACAAGCAGCCCTCCACACCCTATACTGGACAGCCTCACTGAACTGGAGGGGAATTTACAGTACAAGTTGCTAAACACTGCATTAGGTATCACAGCCTGGCCCCAGTCTTTTTCTGTGTGTGTGTGTGAGTGCAAAGAGAAGGATTTGCAGAATAGCATGCAAGCAATAGCAAGATTAGCTTGGTTTCATATTATGCTAACTCTTCCAGTCAGATATGACACGTGTTCTGCAGAGACTGACTTTGGTTCACATTAAAGACCCATATTTTTTTCATTGTTTTACAGCCCTGGTTGTGCGCTTTCTCACTAAGAGATTTATTGGAGACTACGAAGCCAATACTGGTGAGTCTGCTCTCTACTGCAGTGTTGCAGATAGCTTAAAAAGGAATCTACTCAATTTTGTGACTGGTGCATATTACAGGAAAGCCAAGCAGTGTTAGATGTCCATAAGGTGCATATTTTCAGTTAATAGCCTCAAGCTATGAAAGCAATAAATCAAAGCCTCATTATTTATGATCCTTTTAGCTATTTTTTTTTTCCTAACATGAAGGAAAAGGATCAGAGTAAAATGCTTGCTTGGGGACATACCTATACTAAAATGTAGACTCTAGGAGCAACTTGCATATTGACTAAACCGCAGAAACCCAATGCTGCTCTCTCTGCAACCCCAGAGAAGCCAGAGGAATTCCAAAGTGTGTAAAAGGCAGTTCAGAACTTTTTTTCCCCTTTGTATTCCCTTCTTTCAGTGTCTTTTATGACAAGGGAGACTTCCAAATTGAAGTCTTCTTTCCGTAAGATAAGCAAAGTGGCCATGCAAACTCCTACTGTGTTTCTTGTTTAATCCTGACACCTCAGGGGATGTGCTGGTTAATTCTCAGCCTCTGTTCCAAGTGCTAACTATATCAGCCAGCATTGTAGAAGGGATCACTGTGCGCATACCTACTAGCACATCCCACATGTAGGCCACCTCAGATTTGGGGTGAAAAAGAAGGGGATTCAGAGCAGTGACTGCTCCACTTTGGAGACACATGCTGGATTTAGAATGGGGAGCTAGGAATGGAGATGGCAGTACAAGACACCTTTGATCTCTGCCCTGTCTGATGAAATACAGTCTGAAAGCTCCTCCTTACAGCTCCCTCTCACTGACCCTAAGTAACCTCGACTGGTTGCCTGCACTATTTCTCTTTCTTTTCCTTCATCTTTTCTATGGGAGACCGTAGATCAAGTCAGACTTCTGAGCTTTGGAATGGATTGGTGCCGAGAGCCACATGCTTTTCTCATTAAGCTACCAGCCCAACAGCCATGCTGTAGAAGAAACAAATATGCCAGAAATAAGAAACAGGTGGTATTGTATTTGTGATCACTCAAGCATGCTTTTCCTCCGCTTGGGTATAAGTAAGAGCACAGCGTCTGGAAGTACCTGGTCTTTTTTCTGCAGTGCGTTACAGACTAGAAATAATATGTTGTCTGGTTCAGGGGCGCAGTACCTTCCCATAAACTAGTACCAGCTTTTTTTAAGCAGCTTAAAATCTGATGTGTTTTAATAAATAAATAATTCCCAGGAGGGCTATATTACCTCACGGAGTCAGTATTAAAATATAATATGATAATGTTGGATCCAGATGCAGCAAACTTTGCCATATTAAATTTCCTTATATTGTAAATGTTGCTATGAGCTCAGAATCTTTTCCACTGCAAATAAAGCACTTGTTTCCCTGAATCTAATCTTACAGAGATAATTTTCAGAAGTGACAGCACTGTTGTCACTAACTGACCTCCCTGTTGGTCTGAATTTCTTGCTCTCCAGTAGATGGGATTTCTCTAGGTTTGAGCCGAAGTACATCATTTAAAATGTAGCGATGACAATTATATTTGGACAACTCTGAAAGGTCAAACACAACAGCTGTAGATATAGCATTTCTTGTACATCCATGTGACTTGCATTAAGTTCCAAAGAAAAACGATGATGACATCAGTCTCTGAAGCTGTCCTTATCACAACCACAGATAGTTCATAAGATCAAAACTTAAGTTTTCTTTGTCACTTCATCTGCATTCCAGTACCAAAACGAAGTTCAAGCCCAGAACAGTCATGCTCCTATGAGAGCTGGGTCAGCCCTAGACACTTTGCCAGGGCTTGACCTTGAGTATCAGTCATTCAGACTAACCAGAGCTCTGATTTAATCTCTGGGGATTTCAACCAAACTCTTGACTGCTAAAGTCGTACAAATTCCAAAAAAGCATCTGGGTATTCTGTATATGCTCACCTGCTTTGTGTCCAAGAACTAGAATACTTCCCTTAAAAAAAAAATAAATTAAAAAAAACACTTTCAGAAAAATGCAATAGGAATCAGCTCACGTATTTTAGAGTAAACACCTGGATAGCTTGGCTTGAGATTAAAAATATGTGCCCTCCACATTTTAAAAAGTTAACAAAATGGACTGGAAATCTGACCAGGATTGATGCACCCACTGTAACTGAGTATTTGACTCACTACAAGTGCCACCCCTCCCATATACCATCCTAGGGATACAGTGGGAACATCCGAACACACAGCAAATACAAAACCACTTTGCTTAAGTAACCAGCCACTCAGCCTCCCTGGTACCTTTCACTTTTCTATAAGCAGCTACATGATTCTGTGACATATCATAAGCTTCAAAACTAGATTTTGACACTTCCATTTTGCCTTCATGTGCTCTTCCTTTGTTGTTACAGTCCCTGCCCCTAATGATCTTGCTTTTTCCACCAGGTGCTTTGTATTCAAGAAAGTTCACCATAGATGGAGAACAGATCTCCCTACAGGTGCAGGACACTCCCTTTGTTTCACTGGAGGTAACACATCTGCTCAGTGCATTGCTCACTACTTTACAGCACAGTTACTGTCTGTTGTTTGTTGCCAGCACTCTCATCTGTTAGTATTCCAGCAGAAATACACCTGGGCTCAAACCCAAAGGAAGACGTAACGGGGGTACCTTACACCCACCAAAACGAGCCCTTGAAGAGATTAAATCAGGCTCTTTTTAGGAGTAAGTCAGAACTAAACCAAATCTATTTCAAATACATACCTACATCCCAACCCTAAACAGCAGGACAATCAGGCTGGCTTACTCTTGCCAACTCCCTGACTTGTTTTATTTCCTGTCAAATAGTTTTTGTCTCTGTGCAGCAGAAAACTCACCTGCCCAGAGGCTCAGCTGGCTCACCTTACGTATTTCGTATTTCGATGCACCCAGAATCTCTCTTCTCCAGGAAAGGTGTTTCTTTTCAAAGGGACAGGCCTCACAGAAACTGTCATTTCCAGCTAGGGTGCTTTTCAGTGCTTTCCCTACTTTTTCATGTTTTAATTTTATTCATTCCTTATTTCTCAGTTGTTGGCATTTACATATACCCCTCTTTCTATTCTTATTTTAGATATTCAAGGTTTAATGTTTGAACAGGAACCTGTTTCTATAAATATTCTTACAAACAAATTCCAGAACAAAGATATCTTTTTTTTTTGAAGATCTGCTTTACGTGTAGAACAACATGATGAAAACTGGTGTCTGAGCAGCAGGAATTGTAATGAAGTTTGTTTTTACAGGAATGTTGGAAATCTCAGGAGAGCAATAATTCCTATAGAATAGCTGAGATTTCATGGTAAAATTAGGCATCCTCTTGTCGCCATCAAATCTAAACTTCTAGGTTTGGCTTTAACCTCAGTCTGTGCTCAGACTTGGCCAAATATATGTCTGGATGGGAACACCACCATCTCTCATCCACTTTCAAGCTAGCCCTGGACAGCTTTATATATCCTGTTTAGTCTGCGTGGACCCACACGAGCACGGGCTCATTTCTGTGCTCGTGAAGAGCTGTTCCAGCCTGAGATTAGAGAACAGGGTAAGCAAAGCTCCCCCAGCCTCAGCTTGCATGTCCATTTTCTCTGACAACCAGAAGCAGATTGAAGTGGAAAGCCTTGACAAGGCTCCAAAGTCTCTGCTCCGAGAGGTGCACAGAGCAGAAGAACCCTCGTTTATTCAGCACACTAAAAAGCAAACAAAAGCCATTATGGAAGTCCTCCAAATATTCAAGTGGGACTTAATTGTACAAAGACCCTATGCCAGCTTGCTTAGAGAAGACACAGCAAAGAGAAGCTATTGGTGGTGATTAGGCACAACAGGGAATGCCTGACAGGCTTAGCAAAGGGAATCCCTTCTCTCTTCTGTCCTCTGGAGAAAGGAGGGAGTGAATGAATTTAACTCCCCTCTCACACCAGATACATGTTTATTTTCTGATTTCTCTGTTTTAACTAAGACTCTGCCCTAAAGTTCAGAGACTGTAACCAGAGCTCTGCAAAATGTAGTAATGCCAGCTGCTGAGGTTTCCTAGTCAGGAACTATTCTAATTTAGTTAGGGAGGAGTTTCATTTTCTTTGTCCCAATCAAAGGTCTGTTCTGTTTCAACAGTTCCCACAGACATGCTTATCTTAGCTTGGATCTCTGCTGGCATCAAATAATGTATCTGAAATCGTTTGAAAGGATTGTTCCTGAACAGAACTCAAGACGGAGTGAGAATAGGTCGGATTTTCTGTTAAAATCCTTAAGAAAGAGAGTTGTTTGTGGTGGGCAGGCAGAGCAGAGTGTTTCAGGAGGAAGTCATGTGGAATCACTCAGGATTCTTGCCACACTGGAAATGTTAATGTTTAAGAGAGAAACAGAAGCAAAGAGATAACTGGTTTTGTTAGGTGATTCATTGCTGCTTGGACTATACATGGCAAATGACTGTGTGTTTCAAAATTCATTCTGGAGCAGAGATTTCCATTTAAAAAGTAGCCCATTAGCCTTTGATTTTCCTGAATAAAGCATTCCATTGGGGATTATCCATCCATCTCACTACTGGGTGGGCCTAGCTGGAGTAACTGAGAATTCCTGCTCATTAGGGCTCCCTTGAGCGTACACCTTCTCCCAAAACATTTTCCAACGCTTGCCAGAGCAATTAGTTCTTTTTCCCCATAAAGGAGTTTGCTGGTGAAAAGAGGCTAATTATCTACAGATTGGATACAACTCAGACACCAACAGTGCAAATTGCCCTTCTTCCCACAGCCTGCCCTGGCCTGGCTGAGTTCACTCTCATTTACGTTGCAAGCAAAGCTGCTGGTGAGGCTCCCTCTTCCTTCTCTATGCAACCCTGATTTCTTTTTTTTTTTTTTCTTTTTTTTTTTCCCTCGGTTGGGGAGCAGGGGAGAAGAGAGTGATCAGGACATCCGTTAAACAATTTCACTGCTAATAAAGGACATTTAAGATTTAGGTTTATACTATCGTGAGCTGGCAAGAGCAAAGAATTACTAGGTATGATGGGCCAGTGCCTGTATTGCCCATACTGAAATAAGTACAGGGCAAACAGGTATATCAAAAGGGCAGTTAGAAGAACTGCTGCTGAAAGTTTTAAGCCTTATTTAGACTCTGAGCCTTCAGATACCCTGCTTCCTCCTTCCCACAAAAGGGTCTTGCCTGTGGTCCTTCTTTTAAACTGTCTGACGCACCATAAAGAACTAATCAGTTTTGCTCATTCTTTTCCACCTCTGCTTCCTGAAGTTAGGCTTTGTAATTCATATTTAGATGTCTAAGTAAACGTGATCTGTTTTGGGAGATTGCTGAGCACATGCAAATCCTGTTAAAATGCATGAGAAAGGCAGATAAGTGTTATGTAGATAGATAGATATTGGAGCATAAGTTCTAATGTTTTAAATTTCCATAACTAATATTGAACAGTGGCTAAATTTTTAACATATTTTTTGTTCTTTCCTATGACAAACTAGATTTCTGTCAGGAAACCTCTAAGTGCTTTTCCAGGTGTTTTATGCCTTTGGAATGAGTCATTACATGGCATCACAGACACATGACAAAACAATTTGTGAATGATGTTGAAGTATGTGAAATGTTGCCTGTTTCAGTTTAGGAAGATACCATCTGACCTCTTGTGCTCGATCTGTCCTCCACAGCCAATTAACTGAATTGTTTACTGGGCACATTCTGTCGGCCAGTAACTGTTAGATAAAACATTCATGGACATTAGTGGGCTTTGGAAAGGATTTAAAATGCCTGTCTTAAGTCTTACTAAAGTTCATGAAGATTTCTTGAATAGAATTTAGCAACAATAATATCAAAAAAGCTGGACTCTATTTATGATGCTGAACTCCCACTAAAACACGCAGGAGCCTCTAATTCCTTACAACTTCAGCAAGGGCTGAATGTGTGTAGTGTCTTGTTGGGTATGGAAGAAATTGCACGTTCCCAGAAAGCCTGGATTATTGACAGGAATGTCAGTTCTTATCAAACCGAGAATCCTGGTAATAACTGCAGCACTGATCTCCCTATCTAGCTGGGAAACATGCCAGCAGGGATAACAAAGGGTAGAGGATTAGCTGAAAATAGCGTCATCTTGAAAAGTGAGCAGATCTCTTTTCAAGCTCCACAGTATTGTGGTATTGTATTCTGTTTTATATTCCCCATGCTGGTGACTGCTATAGCTGTTTGAGTAGGAGCTGTGATGGACAGAACAAGCGTGTGACCAGCAAAGCAGTAATATAAACCCACGGCAGCTCCATAAATGAGCAATGAGATTTCACCTCATTTCAGTGCCAGTAATTGGCTATTTGCAACAAATTGCTCTTTCAAAGTAACTTTGCTTCTGATTATTTGGAAAACTATATGGCAGTAAAACCTGTCAGGCTTCACTTAACAGAATTAGTGAGAACCCCCAACCATGGAGACATCCAATGCAGAATTGGAAAAAGACATAAAAAAACACCTTGGGGAACAACCATTCACTTGCAATAGTATGACTAGCCTGCTGAGATTTTCTAATGCTCCTACTATGCCAATCCCAATTTTATCCACAACAAAAGGGCAGGTTGCTGTCATAAGGATTTACTACCAGAGAATCCAAAATGAACTTTTCAATTTCAGTGTTAGGTTGTTCTCTTATTTTTAACCGATTGGCTTTGATCGCCCTCTGCTTCTGTGCTGCTTGTCTGTCATATGCTACTGACACAGAGAGGAACTTTCTCCTGTCCCCAGTGCATCCCCCAGCAAACAGCGAGGTTTCTGCCTGTCTGCTGAGCAACAGCCGTACTAGTACACAGCTTTGAGTAGCTATCGGTGCTGTATGACTGCTTGCTCCGTCTGCTCCCTGTTCTCAGTTTTCTAATCTCACACCTCTTGGTTTTGACGGCAGGATGACACTGACAGCATATGTTGCCAAGAGCAGATAAACCGTTCAATCTACTGGGCAGATGGCTTCGTTTTTGTTTACTCCATCACAGAATATGAGAGCTACCGAGTCATCCGGCCCCTATACCAGCACATCCGCAAGATTCACCCAAACGCTAACATCCCCCTGCTTCTGATGGCAAACAAAGGAGACCTCCTGCGAGCCAGGCAGGTGTCCTCCAAAGAAGGACTCCAGCTGGCAAGTGAACTGGGAGGTACTTACTACGAAGTCTCAGCTCGGGAGAACTGTGAGGGAGTGCATGAAGCCTTCCAGCAGCTCTGCCAGGAGGTCAGCAGGATGATCGGGAGCTGCAACGGAGAGAAACGAAGAGGCCTCCACCTTGTCCGACCCAAGTCTCCAAACATGCAGGACTTAAAGAGACGTTTGAAACAGGCTCTGACTTCCAAAGGGAAATCTGCCACTACGCTTTGATGTAGCTGACAGAAATTGGTTTCTACATCACTGAAAAAAAAGGCAAGAAAATAAGCTGGTATTAAGGGGCATCAGCAATCAGACTGTGTGGAAGGTTCTTTCATATTGTCTACACATCTTCCTTAAAAGTCCCATATCCATTCAGCAAAGGAACTTACAGAATGAGCTTTTTGGGGCAAGAATTTAGAAACTGTGATTTAAAGAATAGACTGTCGCAAATTATTTCTGTTTCAAAATGGACACAGTCATACAGTTTAGGCTTAAAATGTAGATTTTATTAATAAAATAATTAAATTCTACTATTAAGAGAAGTGGCTTCTCTTGAGAGTGGTTATGTTCGTAAGCATAGGCAATAAGCTACAGAAGGACACCAGGAGAGCAACAGGAGCTATAATGAGCAAGCAAAACTTAACAGATTTGCTTAGTCATGAGACTGGAAAATAAAGGCAAAAAGTAAATGACAAGCATAAATAGTGATAAGTAATAACTTTTTTTAAAGGTAATAATTCAGAAACTGCAGTTTAGAAAGTGTTCTTAGGAACCTGGAGAGTGTGCTGCAAGCTTATACAGTGTCTCATTAAAGGGAGATTCCAAAAATGTAATTTTTTCAGATTATTTTTCTTTAAACACTTGTTATTTATGAAAGTGATTATATGAGCAAAATACTTACTTTTAGCAGCATTTTGTAGTCAGTTTTTTGATGGTCTACTTGTCATTTTTGTGTAGGCTTGCTACATGGCAATGAGGGACAAATAGAGCAGTGCAGCTGTAAAACCTGCTCAAAAAAAAACAAAAAACAAACAAACAAACAAAACCTGTATTAATCAAGACCAAGGACAGAACCTAAAACTGTTTAACTTTTTTTTTTTTTTCCCCCCAAACTAGTTAGATTTCAAGCTCAAAGATACTGCTTTAAAGAAACAAGGTCATCACACAAAGTATAACTGATTCAATTTTTTTTTTATTTTTTTTAAAGAATAAATGCTTTTATGATGCCTGAGATTCCTGGCTTCAGCAATTTATCATTTTGTTATTTGCCTAAAGCCAGACTTTACTAAATACCTTGCAACGCATCCAAATCACCAGTCTGTCAATAAATATTTCACTGGCAGCATCTCACTGCATTGGGCGCAAAGGGATTTGATTTGGGTGCATCATGTGCAAAGGGATTTGAAGCTGTATCCTGTGAGCTGGCCAATTTTACGGCAGCAATGACAACAACATGAAGCATCCATCATTCTGTTCCTAGTGGGAGCAGAGAGAAACTGGGTTGGACCATGCAAAAGTCAGGATGCAATGATCTTTTTTTTAAACACACCATCCGAGCAATTCACGGGACCATGAAATGAAGTAAAGCTCAGTGATTTACACCAAGGAACACAGAAGGGAAAATCCTGGTTTGATGGATGTGGAAAAATACTCCCAGCTGGAGTTTCAGCCAGCAATACCGAGCTAAATCAACCTTTTACTTGTGACCAGCAAACATGTAAATCGAGTCTGATGAGTATTTATAGAGCTCAGGTCTTGAAAATTTATTTTACATTTTACTTGTCCCTGTACTAGACAACACTAGTCATGATTTTCCTTATCACTTGGATTTGCTTTATCTACAGCTCACCTTCAGTTTTATTTTTGTTTTCCACAGCTGGGCGTCTGAGAATATCTTGTGGTTGGATTAATTTAAAATTCTTTTGTTAATACAAAGCAACTGCACCTTTTTTAAAACTGTTTTCAAGTGGTAGTAGGGAGCAAAAAGGAAAGTTGGATCATCCAAACAGGGACTCAAACACTATCAGGGGATTTCCACTTTAGTTTATGATTTATTAACAGTTTGGTGTTTGAGCAGTGTCATGATTCATTGCTGGCATTTTGGTATGGCATTAATTAGCACAAAATTTCTGTATTTTACATTACTAATAGCATAGCTCAAATATCAAACCTTGAAAGTGAAAATGAGCAAACCGTTTGCAAGAGACACATAAACTAAAAATTATTTACATAACAATAAAGAGCACCAATTTTGAAGAACAACTAAATATTTTGCCATCCCACTACTGTGTAATAAGGGCTAAATTTGCTGAGGACAACATGCTGACATTTGTTTTCATAAAAGATAAGAGAATTAGGTGCTCTATCCTATTAAAATTGTTTGCAATTTACTCTTTCAGCTCTAATCCTTTCTTATTTGGGAAAAAAACTTTCTTCCTAAAGAAATTTGTTTTGAACAAATTCCCAAACTGTCAATGTTCTATTTTCAATAGCGATTAATAAAAAAAAGCAAGGCCTTTCCCGAGTAGTATATAAAATGGCTCATTTACATCTCACATCTTTAAATGTTCTTTGTTTATATTAGACTAAAAATATTTTTTTCTTAATACCCTGCTTTGGAAGTATACACAAGTATTCCTACATTTGTCCTCCCACATAAATAAGTCTTCCCACATTCCTGAGGCACTGGCGGGGGAAAAAAAATATCTACATTTTAGCTAAGACCAAAAAATATTGAAACATTTAAGTCTTCTCCTAAATACTAACATGTGGCAAGCATTTATTCTGCCACAGAAACTTGAGTATAGTATTTCCTTTGTTCATTGAACAGCAATACAAATCCTGTAATAGCTTTGATACTGGTTTTGAGCCAGGACATACCATCTACAGAGGACAATAGAGCTCAGCATTTTTATTAGCAGTGCACACCACTGTGCCACTGATGGCTAAGCAAGGCTGAGGAAGGAGAGCTGCCTGAAAAGCAGGGGGCAGAGAACAATATCGAATTAAGCAACTAAAAATAATCATGTGAATTATCAAAGATTAGTCATATAGAACCTGGTCCTGAATTAGCATCTTCAAGCTGCCACAGAAAACATGCATTCTAATGAAGGTTTAAAATGAAGCCTCAAGAGAGAAGGTACCTGACGTAAAGTCATGCAAGAGAACAAAAAATAGATTTGAGGATAGATGGGAGGGGGCAGTTTGTTTTATTTTTTGTTAGCATAGCAAATTCTCAGTTATCCTGGTTAAATCCAAATTAATTCTGTTGGAAGCCATGAGCTATAGAATTCACTTTCCTTCCCCACCCCCCTCTTCATTTTTTTTTTTTCCTGAGCAGTTTAAGTCTTGTGCAGCATCTGGTTTTCAAGATGGTTTACAGCTGGGTTTACTTGGGCACAAAGCAGTTGAGTGATTTGCCCCAAGGTTACACAGCTGAGCAAGTACTTCAGAGGAGCTCAAAATCTGTGTCCTTTGTAATTAATTCCTGACTCCTTACAACAACTACCAGACCATACCACCTCCCTCAAGGTATGCACAAAGCACAGTGAGTTGTGTTACACAAGAATGCAATTAAAAGTTGGAAAAAGTTACTTGAATCACAACCTATGTTAGAAACTGACTGAGCAAAATATTTCTGATGTGCTGGCACTGTGAGCAATTATAGTAGTAATGAGACTAGCTCGTGAGTTATTGAAAATATTTGTAAGTGATAATCTTCTGCAGTATTTCTGTCAGCTGTATTTTTCACACATTTTTAGCAGTTCCCCCTGGGAATACAGCGTGACCTGGGAGACAAGAAAACTGAGCCCCATTTTTAACTTTTCCTGTTACCTGCTTGGTGATTTTGGCCAGATCTCTTAACCTAAATTACTGTGTTTATAAGGGTAAAGATATTTACACATCTTTGCAATGCACTCTACCATTCCCAGGAAAGAATTACTAATGATAAATATATGAAATTGCTCACATTTGCACTAGAGATAGCTTAAATCTTAACATCTGAGTTCAGATCCCTCAGACTCAGGTTGTTGGGATCCCACGTTTATACTTGAAGTAGAGGAGGAAAATGGAAAATTCAGATCTCCATCTCAAGGGACAGCTCAGACAGAAATGTTTGTATCCAGGCTTCTCACAGGATTTATGTCAGGTATTTAACCGAGGAGGGGTGACTACCTGAGACATGGAAAGAAACTTTGTACAAGAAAATAGTTGTCTAATAGTTTCAAAAAGCAAACTGGAAGACAGCCAGCTTATTGTTACTGCTGATTTCCCTATGCTCTTTCCCTATGCAAGCTAGAAGACTGGGTCAAAATCACACCGACTCTGCTGGAGTTGCAGCAGCGATGCATGACCCTGAAGTGGCAGAACATAATGACATATTTGCTGGTTTTGAGTTGTTCTTGTGTTTTCAAAGAGTTCTTATGAGCTGTCCTTGTCTCTCCTGGGACTAGCACAGGAAAGCAGGGGAATTAAAATAAAAAGACCTCTGGATATATTCTAAAAACCTCAAAAGCAGGGACAGTGCGGACAATGGTCCTAGAAAATGCTATCCAATCTATCACCTCTGGAGACAAAGCACGATTATTCCTTGGATACTTTTCCCTCCAGCTCCCACTGGCTCTCCCTTTCCTTGTTCCTCTCCATTCATGCCTTTGTGCTGGTTTAGTTTAGCAAGGAATACTTGTGCAATTGTTCTTCCTTAGATTCTGAGGAATATTTTTTGGTGTTTAGTTTGAGATATACTTCCAACTATTTTAACTCCAAACATGGTTTATATCAAAAGAAGAGTGTCTACTTAGCCTTTTGACCTTATTTACCTAAATCATTTTAAATTACATCTAAATCAAGTCAGTAGACCTCTGTATTTAGACAAACCTTTGAATTCATGCCATTTGCCCCCAAATGCTCTCACTGGTTTAGCCCAGTATCTTCTTCCCCTGTTTTATACTTACCAAGTTAAGCTCATTTCTGTTGTTTAGTCGTTGCTTATTTAAACCTGTTTAGTTCTGGTAAAGTTTTACTGCTCTTCTCTGAAATCTCTTTAGTTTAATCAGCCAAATTCTCTTCTCTAAGCAGCTGTGCAAGCTGCAGATGAGCTCAGAACAGCTGGTGACTTTCTGCTCTGTTAGATTTTTGCCTGTTATTGAAGATTTTTGAATAAACAGGAGCATGGAGAGAGAAGCATCAAACCTAGTTCTAGTCCTTTCACCTGTCAACTTCCTTTGTTGACAATAATTTTATCAGTCACAAAGCGGACAAAGTTTATCCTAAGTGATTGCATTTCAGTTTGGTTCCTAGAGATGGAAAAACACCAAATATGAAGTGGATAGACGAGTTGATAGGCTCTGTAAACCCTAGGATCCAATTCATTCAGGAGCTGTCATACCAATCCTCTTTTCTTTAGGAGATACATTTTTTACATTTTCCATTTTATCCAAATGGGTTTCAAGAAACAGCCTCTGGATCTCGTCACACAGACACTTACTGTCTCCTCTGTAGCAGGTCAAGGGGAAGCTGCACATTTTCTAAATGTGATAGGTGAAAGTATGCATGTCTTGTGCTGTTATTACAGATGATTGTGGAGACTGTTCCTAAGGATAATGTTTTTCTTCTTTCTGGGCAAAAATGCAGAACACTAGCAAACAGTAACTGGCCGTTCTGAAAAGAGTTTAGCTGTGTTTGCTGAATCTGGAGGCAAACTGTACTTCCTTTGCTGGTTAGAAAACTCACCAGATAAATGGGGGCTGGGATTTTCCTGATGCATCCTTTGAATTCTCACAGAGAGTTGAATTATGTCACTTCTTGACTGTGATCCAGGTTTCCAGATGCTTGCAGGAGCCACCACTCTTCACACTGTGTTCTGCATTGTATTTCATTTCAAAACTCTCAATATTTTCCTGATGATGAAAAAGAGAAACAACTTCGGAGTATCATGCTGATGTACAATGGCCCATTATCTTACCTCTCTATTTTTGATAAAGACATGAGTGTCTTCACTTGATGAAGACCTGAAGTGTCTGAGCAGCTTTTGCAGTCACTGGGGACTAGAATTCATAATCTATAAGCATAGGTATTTATCATTTCAAATGAACAAGACTTTTCATTATTTAACTAGAAGAACAAGTTATACTGTCACACACCTCAGCAGTTCTGTGACTGTCAGTAAAGAGCAGTGGGATGTGGAAATGAGCGACATAAAATCTCTAAATTACACTCCCGTGATTTTCTATAAGAGAGAATGACTTTCCCTTAAGCACTGGGGAAGGTAATAGGCTGGTTGCAGCGCTGAATATAAAGAAAGTAGTGATGGTAATTTTGGCTAACAAGTCTGTGCTCCTGTCCCTTAGTTTGGGAGCTGGGACAGAGGTCAACATTTGTGAGAAGAACCTCCTAAGTGCACAAAGAAGGCTTACCCTTATAAAAAGGGGAAACCGCTGGTTCTCTGAGAAGGAACCAAAACGTTCCTGTGAGCTACATATCTGGGGGAGCTCTGCTGAAATGGAAAACCAGAATTCAGGCCTTGGCGAGCCGTTTGCATTTCTCATCCACAATTTTTCTGAGCAGTGGTGAAAACCCCACGTCTTCATCACATTGCAGCCCACACGGTCCCATTATGCCTGTGTCAAAGTCACTTCTCCTAAAGGACTATGGTAGTACTGCTGGTCTCAGTGTAGACACCAGTACAGCTCCAGCAATGAGCAGAGGGTTTGATCTACCATTTTTATCCACCCTTTTATCTGCCAAGACCACCTATGAAGTCCAGCGTCCAAGAGCTAGGACCAAATACCAAATAGATGTGACTAGTGATCATCAGTCTGTGCTGGGATCAGTAACTGGCGCTCAGGAGAGCTGTAATCTGCCAAAGGAGCAGTTTTTAAAACCCAGGATACATATTTGTGTCAGAACTGTGAAACGATACATTTTATATGCAAGTGTTATTCTGCTAGCATTATTTATTAGGCTGCTTTGAAGAAAGCAAGAAGTTTTGTTTCTAAATCCTGAGTGTTAATCATTAAGACTCCTCATTTTATCTATTTTTGTGCTTTTAATTTTAGCCATTTGCACTTATGAACCTTGCACTGGGGAATGAACTGAAGGAAATGGAGCCAAAGGTTCATCTCTTTGTACATTTGGCAACGCACATCCACACCCGACACTCCGAGTATGTCTCAACACTGGAAGAACCAAGGATCATGAATAGGGTTGAGAGGATAGATACAACTTGTAAAGACCAGGCACCCCTTAATCCTAGTCCAGTGGCTGCTGGTAAGAGCCACTGGCCAGACAGGGCACATCCATCTATCCATACTGCACCAGCGGTCACCACCTTTGTGCCCATGGTTTGTGATGAGCTTTAAATCTGAGGCTTCCCGGGATGAGGGGAGCAGGCTGTTGAAGGGTTAAACGTTTCCTGCTTTTAATCTAGAATCACGTAATGTGGAATGAATGTTTCAGCTCAAAATGTTTCCTCACTCCGACAGTTTCATGGTGTGAGGTCAAAGTGTGGGGGAGACTGAAAGAAAAGAGGGGGTGCACGGGGTGGCGAGCCAGCAGAGCCGGGGAAGCACACGAGCACCCGGAGAGACGACAAGGACGGTTTCTCAAGCAGCTTCAGCCCAGCTGGAAGGGGCCGTGGTGGAGCCATCAGCAGCGCCTGTGTGACTTTAAGGGCTTCCTGCTCCGGCTGCCTCTGCTTCTCCCATGTGTGCGTGCTTCTGCTCTGGGCACGGTTCCCACGCTACATTGCAAAATACGCCTTGAGTTTCTCACAGTACCGCTGCCCAGACACAAACTGCAGCTCCGGTCCTTCCTGCACCCCGCAAATCCAGGAGGTGGGACTCCTCTGGGGGCACTGCCTGCTATATTTATGTTTCCTGCCTCTGCGGATCTTTTCCTACGCTACCAGATCTGTTTTGTACACTAAGGGGCTCTACCTAGGGCGGCAAACTTCGATTTATGAACTCGTCAAATTTCAGATGAACCTGAGTCTGCAGACCTGCCCTGCTCTCAGATCGCTTCTTACGCTCATGACCAGCCTCGGCTCATTTCACCTGCAGGCCTCCTACATGAGCAAGGTGATCACTCATTCATGACTACCACTTCCTATGTCAAAACCTACTCCTACAGACCAGTGCATCAGGTTTGTCTGTTTTCCCTGGTTTCCGGCTCCCCTGTTGCAGGCAAAACTGTTTTCATTTGGGGAATTTGTCCTTAATTTCTTGCCAATTAATGTGAACAGCTAGGCACTGATTAAGGGACTGAGAAAAAATAAAACCAACAATTACACCAACACTTAAGCAAACTCCTTTCAGCCTTCTCCCCCTGAAGCCAAACGCAGCAGCCTCAACCTCTGCCTTTCACCCTGGGTCACTCAGCCCATCCCAAATCCTCGCTGCTCTTAAACACAGTTGAGCAGGGCCACCTGCGGATGGTTTGGCACACAATGTGGCATTGCGAGGCTTTCAGAGCTGCTGGTGACAGGCTTGTGGCACATCATGGCTATGTCCCACACGGGTCACCTTGACAGGCCCTAGCTGCTAAACCTGAGCTCGCACGGCCGCAGTGAGCCCTGTAGTTTCTGCCCAATATGCTCCTCCTGCACACCAAAAAGAACTGCCCCCCACCCAAAGGATGGCAGTGACACAAAGAGGTTGGGGAGATCAGCCTGCTGCTGAGAAGAGAAAATTCTCTGTCTTCCCACCAAATGATAACAAATGTCTGAAGGGAATCATCTGACAAATCCTCTTGCTCAACACCACTCGCCCCGAAGCTGCATGAAAAAAAACAAACTCCTTTCATGGCAGGAAATCCTCAGGCCAGTTTGTCACCAGGATTCAGAAAGATTTAAATAACAGAGCTACTGACATTAGATTTTGACTGGTGGAGGATACAGCCAGAAAAGCCGGTCAGCGAGCGTTTCTGTGGACTGATAGGTGCTGATCCTATTGCTATCGGGCAAAAGTGGGTCGGATTGCCTTCAGGGTAAAGATTTGGGCTTCTCCAGAAGAATGACTGGATTCTAGCTCAAGCTAAAATTAGTTAGTTAGGTCTTTTTAAGAGTTCTACATGACAGCAATTTCCTAGGAATTAGGAAAATGTCATACTCAAGCCCACAGCTCCAAACATTTTATTTCTAAAATGGGCCCCATGAAAACTCATGGGTCAGCCCTGTCAGTTTCCAGCACCCAGTTTCAGCCTTTAAACTGAACGGAAAGATCCAACCTTAAGTCTCTTTTTTTAACCCCAATATTTATTTGGGGTCACTATCAGTTCCACCAGCCCCAAATCTTTGCCCTCCCTGTGTCTCAGGCAGGTTTTCTGGCTGCTGCAAGAGGCAGCATAATCTGAGACCCAGAACACTGCCAGGTGCTGTTCAGGTTGTCCCACACCTACACACTCGTTCCCACTAAATTAAAATGTTACTTCCTTCTTTCGTAGAGTGTTTTGAGATCTATTGATTAAAACTCCTGTGTGTAAGCCAGGTGTCATGTTTTAAATATTCTCTTGTGTGGAGAAGGGCTGATGGTTTGTTATTAATAGAGCAGGAAGCGGGGATTAAACTTTGCTCTCTAATCACAAACAAAAGTTACAACAGCTCTGTAGCTTCTGGGTAAACCTAAGAACGAACAACTGTTCCTAAGGAAAGTGAATCCCAGAAGGAGAAACCCAGATTGATGTCTCAATGGGAGCTGAATTAAAACAAGGTCAGGCTTGGCAGCCTGCCTCCTCTTCACCTTGTGAATATTCTCCAAGGGACTGATCTGGAACACAACTGTTTTGACACGGGGTTTCCTGTTGCAAACACTCTATGCAGGCTCCATATCAAGCAGCTGGGATTTTTTGTTTGGTGTGCCTAAACCACATCTTTAAGTGGTGTAACTTGCCATAGCACCATGAGAGTCTTGTGGATCAACAGAAGTCTGTCAGCTTTTATTAGCTGAGGATTCAACCCAGCCTAAAAATCACTCACAGCAAGAAATGTTTCTGAGGCTAGGACGGTAGTTTCACATATGCAGACAAAGCAAGGCATTTTTCAAAGCCCAGAGTACCCCTGCAATTGCAGAGAAAGCTTTGCAGAGGTAGCTTTTGTGTCTACTGGTTCTCTCCATTAAGCCACATGGAAAAAGTTTTGAGAGTTGTGTCAACAGTGAAACAAAAGCTCTTAATGTTCAGTGGCCCTTTGATTTGCTTTAAACTCCTGGTGCATATTTTGCATTCACTTTCCAGGAATAGCCCAGTGAGATTCTTCCTGGCACAAAAGCTCCAGCAACTAGGATTGATGTCTTTAGGGTATCAATTACCTTGTTGTGCAGCATCAGAGTACTATGGCTGCACGTGGGAGTCCTGTGGGCTAGTGGAGTCCTCCCATAAAACAAATATGATATTACAGCCACAACAGAATATTTATAGATACCTTCTAGCACGACACAGAAGCTCCTGCTGGCTGGCCTGGTACATCCAGATAGCAAGCCGTTGACTCCACAGCCATACCAGACCCAGATCTGAAAGCACAGCAGTTAGCATGAAGTTGCATTCTAGCTAACAATCTCTTTTTAACTGCAAAAATGCATTTTTTTTTTTTTCAGTAACACAGCCCTGTTGCTTCCAGTTATGGGGCTGGTTTGGTTGGCATTAACTGAGGACTCACTGCCCCAACATTACTGTGTGATGTGGACAGTGCCCTTAGAGTTACACAGCTGGCTATTTGTTCTGGAAATGCTTGCATGCTCACCCACTCTGCACAGAAACAATGCAATGTTATTTTTTTTCTTCTAAGTGGTCATAATTAACAAAGCACAACCCGTATAATCACACAGCACTGCTCAACATCACTGGAGAAATACACAGCAAAAGAATTACCTCCCCACTGCTTTTGAATAGCACAAAAAAGTAAATAATCTTACCACAAGTATTCAGTGAGCAAAACAAAGCCTAAATACATCAGTAATATCATCTCCCTGCCTTTAAAGTTCAAGCAGTGTTTAACAAAAGCTCTGTGGCATGGGCAGCCTTTACAATTGCTGGGCACTTACTGTGCTGTGAATTGGAGATGTGACAGACACAGTTCTATAAACATCGGAGCTCACCAGTGCATGCTCAGCCACTGCAGCATCACTGGCGGCAGGAGCTATGCCGCTGCGGTGCGTGCCCAGAAACCCAGGTCTGAGAAAGAGCAAGCCCCAAAAAAATAAACAGGACTCTCTCGTCCAGTTATTTAACAGGGCATGAAAGCAATTAAAGAGATACTGAGGAAACCAGTCATGGAAAAATTAGGTCATACTATTTAAATTCAGTTTTATGGTTACATTCTTTCTTTAGTATGTTTCCCTCCCATGTTGTTTCCCTTCCATTACTGTTGTTTCTAATGATAATAGCAGTGACACAAGCATCAAGATCTTTCAGCGTTCTTCTGGCTACCTACTGCCCTACTTACCCTCCAATGTTCTGGTAAGTCCAGACGCCCCAGTAAAGATATCATCACTACCTGTAAAGCAAGGAATGGGAAATAAAATGAATCAGAAGGAGATGCTAGGTCCGTTATGTGGTTTATGACGTACAAAGATTAAAGAAGAAGACAAAATTAATGCCAACATAACAAAATCAACCAAATATTTCAAGCAACATGTAGAGCAAAAAAGGAGCCTTTTTACTGCAAGCCTGTTCTTCTAATACCAGTGCTTCTGTGTGAAAAGGATTTTTCTTCACTTGATTTCAATGGTTCAGCTTGTTTAATGTTTTCCTTTAAGTTCTTGCCTCTTTCAAGGCAGATACTTTAACCTCAGTTCTAAGAAGCAGGATAAAGCCACTCGAACAGTTGCCTAATGCTGTAGTTGTGGTTCCCAGATAACTGGTGGTTTAAGACCTTCAGCTGACCTTCAGAACCACATTGTCTTTATCAAATTTTCACCTACTAGTGCCAGGCAGGTGCATGACAATCTATAGTGGTTTTTATAGCTGACAGCAGTCTACAGTCCCAAAAATTTGGGAATGGCCTAGGCTAGATTAGGTTTTAAAGAAAGGATAACAGCAAATTATTTCTACTGCGCCACTTAGTGTATTATGTAAGACGTGATTACTCTCAGTTGTTTATTTTTACCTTATTTCTTTAACATCTTCTCTACATATTCTACTGGAGGCAGTTATGGGCCACTGAAAACTCAGTTTTATGTGACGTCCTGTGACATTTTTGACGTGACAGAAAGGCTGTGTTGGAGGTTATGTGTTATACCAGACTTTAAGGCCACGATTTTCCACTGCCGAAGTGCCAAACTATGTACTTGAGCTGCCACCACTCCGGCATCCAAATTAGCATCTGGGGATTTAATGAAAGAGGGTGGCTGTTCACCAGATGTCCATGGACATGTAATTGATCTAGGCTATAATGGACATCAGTGTAGAATTTGGCAAAATACCAGCTGGGAAACTAGTAGTTAAAGAATGGGAAACAATGCCTGGTATACGGATGTTGCTGTAGATTGAAAAACAACAACAACAAAACTATTTAAACTAGAAATAGTAACAGTAACTGAAAAGCATTGTACTGGTGTAGGCCAAATACTTGAATTTCTGAAGAATCAGGAACTGATCTTGTTAAATATTTTCATGAATGACCCTGGCACAGACCATCAGAGCATGGGAGTAAAGCTTGCTGATGATGTGAAGCTGGGAGGTGCCACCTATATGCAGCAGGATCAGAGTGCCCTACAGGAAGAATGGCATTCCTCTGGGGAACTGAATCACAGCAATAGGATGCAGGAGCAAACGCCCAGGGACTGAGAACAAGAATTTCTCTAATCAATGAGAAGCAACACAGGAAGAGAAAGGCTGTAGCATATTACAGCAGCGTGCAAGAGTATCAGTGTCTTGCAGCTCTGAGGATGTTGAACAAAACAATACAGCAAAGGCGGAGAGTGTACGTGGCACTGTGCAGGGACTGCCTGAGACCACCCCGTGAGTGCTGCTCTGATCACCCATACTCCCAACAGAACAGGTGCAGGCAGAGGAATTACTGAGGGTAGGAAGCCTGTCGTACCAGAGGAGGCTGAAGCCGTGCTTATATTTTTGTATCTCTGACCTCCAAAGATCCTGGAGCAAGCTCTGAGAGTGTTTTTATGTCCACAGGGCTAGGACATTACATTACTTAGGGAAATATTAGCTCAGATGTGACTGGGTATCAGTGGAAGGGTTGCACAGAGTTCCTATGCCCCCCTGCAGCCTTCCTCTTCTTGTTCTTGCCCCCAGGCTGTTTCTCTCCATTGTGCCAACAGGAACATTTCTGCAGTCACCTGGGACTGAGTAATTGATCCACCCAAGGAACAATGCTGCAACAACGAAAAGCTCATTTTTCAAGATCAAGCCTCTGCACAGTCGATATCTCCGGACTTCTTTGAAATCTGAGATTTACTCCGTCAATGGTAACCTGGGAACTCTGGGGAAATTGCATTTTCATTGTACAGACAGGCACCTTTCTCTACTTGGGCGTGCAGGAAGTATCCCAAGAAGGGACGAAGTCACTTGCTACACACCCGTCTGTGTGGTGAAGAAAAATTCCTTAGCAAGGGAAGAACGTTGAGCAGGAATCAATGCAGTCAGAAAACTCAAGTGTCCATGAATTCCCAGTAGCCCAGAATTAGAAGCTGTTACCTAGCTACGGGAGCAGGAATGTTCTGGAAAAGCCTCCCAGTGGGAGACAAACACTTTAACTAGTTCTAAGATGAGGTTTAACCCTTAGGGACTGTACAAGACAGCTCTGTAACAGTTGGAAGTTTCCTTCATGTCCGGCAAGGTCCCTTCCAGTGAGCTGGTGCATCCAGAGCCAAGTGTTAGGTGCCCCGCTCCAAAACTCTTGATCACAGAATACAGAAAAACGGATTGTACGTTGGATTTTACATTCTCTACTCAAATTTAAAACCTTGGCTGTTTCTCTCCACTCTGTATTTTTGCAATACAGTGCAAATTCCACCATTAGGGTTTGCCAACACTTTTCACTAAAATGTCACAAGCCAGATCAACTACACAAGGTGCATGACAAAAGAGAACAAGGTGTGAGAGACTTTTATCTTGGAAGGAACAAGTCCTAAAGAAAGTGTGAAAAGGGCATATCCTACTCTTTCATGCTGAAGACTGGCATTGAATTCACCCCACACCATTCTCCAGTTATATTGAACTTTTCCATCCCCAGCAGATTGACTCCAAGGGGTTTAAATACGCAGAAAAGAGGAGCTGGCCACTAAAATTCAAAACAATTTAATAAGGATGACTGATCCTTAATGGGAAAAAAAAAAAAAAAAGTCAACTCAAAATGATAAATAAGGAATAAAACATGGCTTTCTTCTGCACCACCCTAAAGCTGCAGCATGAAGCCAGGATGACATAGGGCTTTCCTGTAGTGTATGCCTCTCCCAGGGGTATGGCCACGGTCACAAGTGCATGCTACAAGTGCTGGGGCCCCAGTGAACTCCCACTGTCTGCAAACCTGCAATGACACCTACTGGTAACCAAAGATGTTCCTGCTCGTGGGCAATGCGAGCCTCCTTGCTTCCAAACACACGCGAGACTTCTTTCATCCCCTGGCTTTCCATCATCAAGGTTTGCCTCAGTGTTTCTGTACATCCTAGCGCAGGAAGCTGGGCTATGCTTGGCCTGGTTTATTTGCAAACCACTTATTTACCATTTGTCTTCTGTTCTGAGCTGGAACACATCAGTAACTGCCTTGTGGGGGGCACTGGAACCCCATGACTTCTCTTGCCTAGGGTTAAGTCATTCAGGTATGTAAGGACCTTCGTGGATCACTCCCACACTGCCAGTTCCTGTCATCCTACAGGACAGTTGTTGTCCTTATACCGCAGTCCTTGGCACCCAGCACCTAGCTACTCTCTGAAGGCCCTGGAAGGTGACCCTCTATCTGTGGTTGTCCGCAATGACGCCTAGATGGTCACTCCTGAACTGGTGAAAAGAAGGAAGCATCACTTCAAACCAAACAGTCCCACCGCAGACAGCTAGGGAAACCAACTGTATTCAGTGGTTATCTAGTTTTAGAGCCTGAAAATGGAGAGTTTCAGAGGCAGTGGTACTACATTTCTTTCAAAAACCTCTGCTTCTTCACCCTAAAAAGAAGACTTTGACAAAATATATCAACCAAATCTGTGGAGGACTGACAGTACACTAAGCACAAACCAAAGGAAGGCAGGAAGTCCTTTTCAGCTCAGAGTTAGCATTAGGCTTTCTAACATTGAGATAACACAGAAAGAAAGGGAGGCCTGTGGAGGAAGAAACTGCAAGCATTCTGAAATCTGGAGGGGTTTTAACATGCATGTCTCAGACTGCTGGAACACCGCAAAATGATTAACCCTTGTACAGGGTTCCATAAATCACAGCAAAAACACAAGCAAAGTAATTAGAGTTGGGAATCCCACATCACATTTTCTTACTGAATTTCTTGGACTTGTCCCAAATTTTAAATCCTCTCCTTTGTCTTTTTCTAACATATTCCTGGGTAGCATTACAGCCATGCATAAATAGTGAAAATTCCCTAAATTATTTCTATGACTGCAACAGTTGATTGAAATTAGTCCCTTGCATTTAAAGAAAGTCAGTGATGAGAATGCTCTGCATTTGTAAATAGGTAAGGAGCTGGACAGATTATCTGTTGGCATCCCTGAGGAGTAAGCAGCTTAATCTCATTAACTTTGGATATCCTCAGAGTAGGCATACATACCTGAGGACTAGTTTTCCAGCAGCACTCTACAAGTAGGAGAAATGAGTTGAGTCACTTCACCTCATCCCAGATATCCAAAAACATCCCTGCAAGGGTGAGATGAATCATGGCTCAAGAAGAACCTATTTTTTTTCTCATATAGAGACACCATATATATCAATCTTAGGTAATATATATAAAAACCTTGTATAAAAGATCCTGTAAATAGAATGTAGTAGAATTGTAGCAAGTACCTGGCAAGTATCTACTCTCTTGCTGAACTTGATGAACTTCTCACTCCTTGTGTTGGGGGAGAAACCTTGCAATAGCTTTTTGTTGTGCTTAGCATGAACCTTCACTGCAAAGACATAAGGAGAGGCTTTGTTAATTCATTTTATGGAGGGTTCATCAATTTTGGATTAGATTCTCAACATAAATGCAAACCAGCATTTCTTATACAAAATTGAAGTAGGTATTATGTGGTGACACCTTGTGATCACACTAGCCCACGTATTTTGAGGCTTGCCTCGTCACAGCACCAGCACCTGGGGGGGGTACAAGTACTGGAGCCCAGTTTGGATACGTCACATTTGACATCATTTGACAGTCACTGAGGAAGAAATCCTCTCCAGTGCAGGAAGCCATCACTGGAGGCAGAGCATCATTTGAGCCCTTAATTTGGACATGAGTAACATTTTTCTCATCTATGGCAAAATAACATGTAGAACACACTATCTTTTTATATGGCTCCAGGAAACCATTTAGCTTCCAAATGGACTAGTTTGTTCATGGTTACAACAGGCAGAGAGCTAATACACTATTTACTTAATTTGGCAAATTTTGAATTCTTCCTTTAATTAGAGCTAAATACAGTCTGTTCTTGAAATTCATTTATTTATACTATTCTGCATCCCCACTGATATAATCAAAGGAGAACTCTGACTCTCCCATTTCTGCAAACATGTTTTTCCTCCTGCATTTAGAGCGCTCGGCATTCCGCAACACTCCGAGGCCAAAGTCTGTGACTTAAGTGAACCAGTGCTTTGGCAGGAGTCACTTCTTGCAAAAATATTTTTGGCCTGGAATGATGAGGCTTATGCAGCTCTCCACAGCTCCCTATCGCTAAAATACCACGAGCAATTATGGAATGAAAAGGAGTCACGGGGCCAAGCCAATGTCCCCTGGATCACTGAAAATCCCAGAAGCTGATCCAATTTAAGAGTCTGTCCTAAGAAAAGATGGATTTCTTTTTTTCCCCAAATCACACTATCGTCAAAACTTGCCTAAGCCACACAACATGACAGCACCATGAAGGGTGAAAGAACAATGCGACCTGTTACCTCACCTGCACAAATTGCCAGAATTCAAATCCTTCATCAAATCTTCGTAGCAACGCTGAGTGCAATTGCTCTTTTTCAAGCTATCAAAACCACTCAAGATACACAGCATGAATTGATTAGCTGTACAGAAAGTCTGGATTAGCAGCTGATGAGCTATTACAATTTAAGCTCCTGCATCCCGCTGTGTGTAGCATTTGGGCTTAAACTCCCCGCTCTGATTGCCCAGCCAGTGCATGCTTAAAGCACCATCTAATTTGGATTACAGTTTAACGAGGGGCCAGGATGTAGGCTAGTGTTACAGCCAGCTCAGGTGTCTGCACATGCCACTGCTGTCACTTCAGGGACTGTTGGGTAAACAGGAATGAAAACAGAATATGAGAGGGAGCTAGCTGTGCCAGGAGCTGAAACGATGAAACGGCCAGATGTCACTTCAATAAGAGATAGAGATCCTGAAAAGGTTTCCTAGAGATCTAGATATGAATTCCGTGCTGCTGCTCCTGGTGCAAGAGACAAACATCCTCCTCACACCGCTCTTCAGGACAAACGCTGTCAGAGGGGAAGTGCCTGGGTGAGGGAAAAACTCACTTCACGAAACTACTGCAGAGGTGTTTCACCTTGGATCGGTTCCTGATGCAGGGAGGTAGAGGGATGCCCAGTCACCATCACTGTGTTTGACCAGCATAACCCTCGGCACAAAAAACTAATGTGCAAAAGGCCCCTCTTCTGCTGCTTTTACCATCATGTATTGCTCCATAAAAAAGGAGCAAAACAAATGACATCTCATCCATGCAGCATCGCGGCAATTGTCAGCCTTTTACTGATGTTAAGTAGCAATAGAAAGCTTTGGAAAATAGAGAATCAAAGGTGCTGGATGCCAATACATAATTAATCTGTTTTCATTTGTTCATTCAAGTTTTATTAATATGACTGAAGAAAAACCAGGGGATTGGAGCTGAGCCAAATGCTTCACACCATATAGATTCTTGTTTTGTTTTGTTTTGTTTTCCTGAAATCTTGCTGGTTTAGAACACAGAATAGCAACTAAATGTCTCCATCAGGATTAGGCCATAAGCCACCCACAAAAAACAAGCACTGCCAAATATAAACAGTCCCAATTCTTTTTTTCTGTCAGCAAACAAAACACCATCTTCTTGTTTACACAGAGCAGTAACCAGCTCTGCAATTAAGTAAGGCAAAAATTCAACAACTGATTTGCATGATTTTCCATGCAAATGGAGCATTCATCCGGCCAGCAGAAAGGTAGGAGCAGCTGATCCTCTCCAAGGAACAACGCTGGGCAGGTTAAATTGCTTTGCTCACTGATAAATAGAGAGCAACCGCAATAAAGGAGCAATGCAGCATGAGGGGCCAACCGCTTCCTTTTCTCTCCGCAGAGTTGTTCAGTATGAATCTGAACCGGTTAGTCACTGCAGTGTGTGGGTGCAGGACACGGAGGAAAATAAAGATCACTTTCAGTGAGAGCATTTCCAAATCCACGAACACGTTTATTGAAAAGCTAGCTCCTCACCCGATGCTGAAACTAGAGTGGAAAAAAAAAGAGCTGCTTTGCATGGCACTGACCCAGCACCAGCCCTGGGCAAGGCACAGTGCCTTATCCTTGTCCTAAACTGTGAGTGCTGAAGGCAGGGATTGGCTTGATCCCTGTCTCAGGATGCACTGAGCACTATGTTGGTGCTCATCTAATTGAGAATGATGGTTCAAATGCCATTAAAAGTACCACAAGTGCAGGGGGAACCGCACCTGACATCAGGACAACGTGGGACTCCACCAGAAGTCAACCAGCAGAGAAGGGAAACGGCAGCTCGGGGGCAAAGCCTCTTGCCTTTGAACAGTGGGATGCATCAGGACCTGGAATAAAGCGGAGAGATTCGAGTTACTATCTAAGCTCTGAGCACAGCTTCACGGCTGGATCAAGCTGCTGGACCAGAAATGTTTCAATGGTTTAGAGCCATCTTTTCATAAAGTTCGGTGGGTGTTTGTTCTGTGTTTTATGTGGAATGGGACCAGTTGAAGCTTATGACACACAGCTAGGTTTGAGGGATCTGCACTGACTAAGGGAGTATTGCTATTGTAAAGCAATTGTAAGGGGGCATTGCAGAAAAATGCTTTTTCACCCCATAGAAAAATAATCCAACATCGAGTAAATCAATGTGGGTGCCCCTTCTCTAAAATAAAGCTGCAGTTCTCTGCAAGATGCTCGCATACCCCAAAACTGTAGGGTTTAGAAAATTTCAGTTTCACTTGATGAGCTCATGGAACCTTCACTTTTCTCTCTGTTATTTACAGTGGGTGGGCAGAATTCTTGCAGTTGTGCTTTTTGACAACCTTCATATATTTAGTCAGAAATCTTTGTTTCTGGAATCTTTCTGGGTTGTCATGGAAATTATCACCATGTCCCTAAGACTAGGATAACAATTTTATGACAAATTACAGGAGATAGGGAAGGAGAGTATTTTGGCATAAGACAATACTTACAAGGGAAAAAAAAAAAAATCACACAACGTTTTTGCACCCTTAAAAGGCATCCAATTAAAGATTTTTTTCTCTAATCTCTGCCCGTTCTTTACAGCTTAAAAGAAGAAAATCTAGCAATCTGCAAACAATATTTTTTCTTGCAGGACTCAATACAGAGCAGCTCATGCAATCTAGGGGATGTTGGCCAGGCCATCTCAGGCTGTTCCCAACCCACCAAAATCTGAGAACAAAGCCTACAAGAATACGAAGAGCTTGTTAATATTTCTGATGATTTAATACCTGAATCTTGCTACATCTCTCACAGGCACCTTATACAATTAGCAGTGCTTTAAACCATTATTCAATTGTACCTAATGGAAAAGCATCTGAGTAGTAGCCAACACAGATTTTTAACAAGAGGGGCAACTTTTATTACAAGAAGGAGGAGATACAGGATCTGATTTTAGTAGAGGAAAGAAAGATGCTTTTTCCCCTGTTGCTATACCTCTTTGCAGAGGTGTCTGGCAAGCAAAGAAGAAAGATCTAGAGCAGAGACCTGTTGCCCTGGGCTGTGTTCTAGGCCATGCATCTGGCTCTTTAGAGCTAGTGGCGCAGCACATAAGAGGTTTCATTAAAGGAGCATTTTCTCAAGGGGGGTGATTCCCCTTAAACGAAGGACCCACGTTCACATGCAACCTCCAAAGCAGGGCGCCTTGGCCAGCCATGAAACTTTGTTGGGTAAACAGAACATTTCTGTTGAGAGGGGCTTTCAGGAGGGTCATTTTGAGTTGCCGCATCTCAGTCCAAAGATGGTTTCTGCTGCTACAAATATCAGACAAACTCCAGGAGCAAGCTGAAAGCCAGCTTTGTCTTCATCGAGCCTGTCAGATATGAGACCCAAAAAGCTGATCCCAGTAAGATTAAAACCCAGACACTACACAATCTACTTCTAAATCTTCAGCACTGACACCTTCTGTGGTTACCTGGACTCACTGACAAGAATACTAAAGAATGGAAAAATTCTACTCTTTTCCATTTAGGGCATGACTAATTGACCTACGAACAAAAATAACAGTTCTGCAGCTGTCTGGAAAACAACACACCCAAGATGATTTATGAGAGCAGAACTGATATTTCTGATACATTTGAAGTGAAAAGCAAAAAGGAAAAATTAAACTTACATATCAGCCAGATTTTTTTTTTCCATCAGCCTCTTTTTGTTCCAGAGACATTGGGGATTATTTTGGTTTTCAGACTAAAAAATATATGTTTTTTTTTTTTTTTTTTTTTTAAAATTATTTTTCAGATAGCATAACACAGCAGTACTTGGAATCAAAATAAAGGGATTTCAACCTTTTGCTGGTTGCATAGAAGCCGCCTTATCATCTGGCTCCAAAACCTGTGATTACACAGTCTTTAACACCAGAGCTGTGCACTACTGGATCATCCAGAAGAACAAACTTGACTAAGATCACACATTGCATATTGCTGCCTGCCTAGCCAGAGTTGAAGGCAGTGATGAATCTTTTTTTACACTGTTTTTTATGCCAGTTTCAAAATAACAGACATCTTCTGTAATGTACAGTGGTACAGAAAGATGATATATAACAAGTGTTCAAATTCAATACCAAATTCAATTTCTCAAGTTCTTTTAAAAAATCAGGAACAGCAGGATAACCAGAGTTACTAGTTTGCGGTATGTGTCTGAGCTGTTTTCAGCTGAGCTCTTAGAAAATTTATAAACAGACTCAATGAATGAGATCCTTGGTTAAAAAGGCTCTTAATAATGATTTTTTGTTTGTTTGTTTGTTTTTACAATATTGATATCCCAAACTGTAACTACTTCAAGATTTTGGAGTTTCAAAGTTTGATTTTCCTTGCTGCTTTTCAATTAGGAAAAGTGCTTCTTTCCTAAAAAGAAAGATTTTCCACATTAAAAAGGATTTGGTAGTGTGAGGTGGCCAAAACACAAAAAATCCCAGGTACTTGGAACAGTTTCTCCTTTCAACGTGACTGAAGGTGTTCGAGCAGTAATTCCAACCCTTTGCCCGCAGAGGGCAGACGTTGACAATGATTTGAGATTCCAGCCGTAAATCACAGCAAGCTTTTGGTTAATCAAAGTGCTAAATCTGAGAAAAAGGAGTAGGATGTGTTTGAAGACCACGACTTACTAACGAGTAAATATGATGAAAGCTCTCAAAACAGCAGTTGTAGTGGATACAGCAGAAGGAAGCCCACCACCATAGGTGAAATCCTCTTACCCCAAAACCAAAACAAATCCCTTATTTTCTTCCTGTTGGACAGTAAATAGCTCTGGTCAAATGATGTATTTCAAAAGAATAAAGAAACTTGCATGAAAACCACATGGAGAAGGGGTTCAACACACACAAAAAAAAAAACACAGCCCCAGTCGTGGTGCCAGCTCCAAAGAAGCTGCAGCTTTGGGGTTAGGGCGGCTTTGAAGATTCGAATGGCTGGTTACAGGCCTGCACATAAGGGCCAGGGAAAGACAAACAAGCCTCAAAGGCACAACACCCCCCCCAGACCTGATAGCATCCTTTAGCCACATCAAAAGAGCGCAGGTCTGTTTGATATTCACTTTTCCTCCTTGAATTTGGAAACATGTAAACAGAGAGCCGGGCCAGCAGCCTTGAGCTGAATGCAGGATGCGCAGAGGGAAGTAGGAGTGGTCCATGGCACAGCTGGCCCGGCCTGGCTGTTGTCAAACGGGAAGCCCTGCCTGCTGCCGGCCCCTGCAGATCAAATAAAAGATACAGCCCCTTGGAGAATAGGTTGCTATATACCTTCGGGAACTTCCTGGCCTGGCACGAGGTTACTGTATAGGGTTTGGTGCCAGACCTCCTCTGCGAGCTGTCAGGATTTTGTTGAGAGCTGTCCAGCTTCTCTGAACGACCCCGCTCTGTGTACGGCCCTCAGCGTTTGGGTTTAAATAGCCAAAGAAGGAAAACTGAAAATTGTGGCCCTAAAGGATGCAAACCCAGGAAGAGAGCTAACATAACCCGGTGTTTATTAATTTTAGGTTAGTGAGAATTTCATGCAGCATCTCATAGTTTAAGTGTCACGAGTTAGGCACTCAAAGCTTGAGGATGCCAAACCCATAATTATTTACCACTGGAAAATCAAAGAGAAAGACCAATTTCCATAAACCTCAGCCTTCAGAATGTAAGCCAATCTCTGCCTGCACTGACAGCTTCATTTTGAAGCAGGTTATTTCAGAAAGGCTCCTTGTGGAAATTCCTCAGGGACAGCCTGTCCTGACATCCGCCGGAGATGGCAAATGAGCCACAGGTCGGATGGCTTGGCAGTTCCTCGAGCAGTGGGCTACCTGCTGACCAAAATACATGGCCAGAAAAATGCTCTGAACAACTCCTCAATGGGCTCACTGAGGTCAGCACTGTCAATCCTGTGGCATCCCGACTTTTTGTGCTTCTTTGAGAGAAAATAAGGGGGAAAACCCACCTTGCGTGAGCTTCCGTGAGTTAACATTTCTCCCCAGAGCTCTTCACCAAGAGAAGTTTCTCCTCATACCACAAACACCATCTCCACAGCCCTCACTCAGACTGCCAGCCTGCCTTTAAAATTCCTTTTTATAGCTCCCACAGAATTTTCTCAACAGTCCTTGCCCTGCAAAACACATCCCTGTTGCCCTCCTGCCCTTGCTCTGCTCTCCAGTGGGGTCCCACTTCCTTCCTTTTTGCTTAAACTTGGGGTCCCTTTCCCCATTTCCTGATACTGACCCTGCAGAGGAGGGCTTTTACATCCCATCACTGCAACTCACAAGTTTCCAGCGAGCAAAAAGCTCAGGAAAAAGCACCTTTGATTAGTGAAGTTTTTCCCATCGCCCAGTTTTGGAGATTCAGGTGGGACTGCCTCAGAGCTTCTGGACCCATCTCTCAACGCGGTCATGTGTGCAACAGGGATTTACTGAAAAGCAAAGCAAAAGGATGGAAACAAGATCTAAAGGCTCCTGGACTTCTTCCCTTCGCTTCATCAGGGCACCTTAGGTTAAAAGGAACGGCACAGTTTAAAGGTCGATGTCAGTCTGCAGCTGGCTGTGAAAGGCTCACCAGGAAAATACTTCAACAGTGAGCGAGTGGCTGGGTGGAGATGGCCTGTGCACAGCCCCGCTGCAGCTATTGTTTGGCAGCTTGTCTGAATGGGGTTGGAAGCCTCTGCCTCCAGGAGCTGATCTTTTCTCCTCCTCTGCGACTTTCTTTTCTCACTTTCATGTTTTGTACTTCAGAGCCGGGCTGCTTTACCAGCCAGGGTCAGCAGCAGGTCACACTTGTGACATGAGGTTAATGTAGTTGTTAAGTAACAACATGGGTCTTCCACCCGCATGAATATTCCTCCCCAGCCTCCCAGACACATGC